AATATTATGATGATGATGATGATGATGATTATGATGATAGTAATAATAATGATAATAAATGTTAAGCATTGGCCCAATCGACAATGGCTGACTGGTTTTGAGATGGGCCGACCCAATCAGAGGTTACATGGACGTAATCAAAACCTGGCAAGAATGTCAAACAAACAGTAAGTGCAACACAAGCTAATTGTCAGAAAAAAAAAGAAAAGGCGGTGCCGAAAGCGCAGAGAAAGCCAAAAATTGCTCTAAAATCAGACGCTGCCAAATGCATAAAATTAACTGAAATAGTCTCGAAAGGACACATGTCGACAGCACGAAGGTCGATGGTTTGAACCTTGGCTGGGTCAGTTGGTGTTTCTGTGTGGAGTTTGCATGTTTGCATGGGTTTCCTCCCGGCTTCCCTCACAAGTCCAAACACATGTGCTATAGGTGAATTGGGCAGGCCAAATTGTCCGTAGTGCATGTATGTGAATGTGTGTGTATAGGTGTTTCCCAATGATGGGTTGCAGCTTGGAGGACATCCGCTGCTTAAAATATGTTACTGCTTACATTATTTCACCATCTGTACACCAATATTAATAGTGAATGTGTGTGTCTGTGGATGGGGCTGTGTTGGTAATGTGGGCTGGTGTGGCTACAGTGCCAGGGCTGATTTTTAGTCCCAGTCCGCCCCTGGTTAAATGTCTGTTGAAGGAGCAGCATCAGCAGAGATTAAGCACACAGTCTACTAACACTCAAATGAGAAGTAATTGCCTTGTAGTTTAGTCAACAAAATGTGCAATAGAGACCATCACAATACAGTCTTACCAAGATTATTGCATAATGTGTGTGTGTGTGTGTGTGTGTGTGTGTGTGTGTGTGTGTATATATATAAATATATACATATATATATATATATATATATATATATATATATATATATATATATATATATATATATATATATATATATATATATATATATATATATATATATATATATATATGCTCAGCATAAATATGTACACTCCATGAATATTTTAGCTGATATATTTTGATGCATTTGAATAAAACAGGTTTATTAAACAGACATAATATACACTATTTAAAAGTATGAAAAATATAACAACAACAAAAATCAACTGCAAAGTTCAACTAAATTGACATATTTTTGTTTCTCTTGATTTTTGCTCTTTTTTAAAATTGTTATTTAATATTTTTCCCTAACATATAAATTTGGGTGTACTTAATTTTGGACCGTTATTAAAGTTTTTACTTAGATTAACTCCTGATTTGGCTTTTAGTATTGATAAATTTAATGTATATATATGTATATATGAAGCATCAAATAGAAAATATTAATTGAAAAATTTGATTTATGAGGGGTGAACTCCTATATGCTGAGCACTGTGTGTGTGTGTGTGTGTGTGTGTGTGTGTGTGTGTGTGTGTGTGTGTGTGTGTATATATATATATATATAAATATATATATATATATATATATATATATATATATATATATATATATATATATATATATATATATATATATGTATATACAGTTGAAGTCAGAATTAATCGCCCCCTTTGAATTTTATTTTCTTTTTTAAATATTTCCCAAATGATGTTGAACAGAGCAAAGAAATTTTCAGTATGTCTGATAATATTTTTTCTTCTGGAAAGTCTTATTTGTTTTATTTCGGCTAGAATAAAAGCAGTTTTAATTTTGTAAACAACATTTTAAGGTCAATATTATTTGCCCCTTTAAGCTATATATTTTTTGATAGTCTACAGAACAAACCATTATTATACAATAAATTGCCTAATTACCCTAATAATTACCCTAATAATTTTGACTTCAACTATATATATATATATATATATATATATATATATATATATATATATACTTATTTATTGATTTATTTATTTTTTTTGTATTTTTATTTTGATACAGATGCTTTCTGCTTCACTCATTGCCAATTTCTGCTGGACTTTTCTATACAACATTATAGGGTAGTGTCGTTTTTTTTTTAGTTTTTTTTTTCACAAATTTGAATATTAAACACTTGCTATAGAAAATTGAGTTAATGTGAACAGATGGCTTCAACAAATGACATAAAAACTGATTATTGTTAAAAACTGGGTCCATATGGAGAGAATTAATGGAGTTTGTTCCTCTGTTGGGCTCTATAATGATTTAAAGGATTAAGTGACAAGCCAGAGCTGGGTGTAGGAACAGATTATAGTTAATTCATTATAATTAATTAATACTTGTAATTAATTGAATGTAACCTGTGTTTCGTAATCAGATTACAAAAATCAAGCACTTGTAGTTAGAGGAAACTCATTGTTAAAGTACTTGTAATCCATAATACTGTTATCTGTATTAAATGAATACACATTATTGTCTTGTGATTTTGACTTTACGTTAAAGAGATGACCAAGAGGCCGCACTCAATAGAACGCTCCATTGCAACAGCAGCGCCCAGCAACAGCCCTGTGATTCCGCCATTTTGGAGTGAAAGGGATCGGCTGTCCAGTAGATCTTATTGCTGTCGCGATGGCGAGCAGCTGCTTTGTTTTTTATTTATTTATTTTAAAAGCGCATTAAAGCTGAGATACAACTTGAAAGACGACAATACAACACTCACCATCAAATACCAGTGATTATCAGCACTTTAAATAGTTCATTTTACAGACTAATTTAATATATTTTAACCATAGTTGTTTTCTTGAAACTGTCACTTTTAGGTGAAATTACTTTGAGTAAAGCTAAAAATACAATAGAAATCTAAGTTATTTTGTTAACATTACTTGATGTTATAAGTGGATAAAGATGTTTTAGATACCAGATATAGTAAACTAAGGGCTCTATTTGACGGTCCATGCGCAAAGCACAAAGCGCAGGACACAAACGCTTTCAGGGTGAGTCTGAATCCTGCTAATTTAAGGATGGAAAAATCCGCTTTGCGTCGTGGCTCATGGTCTAAAAGGGTTGAGTTTATTTTCTTAATGAGTTATAGGTGTGTTTTCAGAATAAACCAATCAGAGTCTCATCTCCCATTCCCTTTAAGAGTCCGCTGCATCACGTCATAAGCGCATTTGCTATTTACAGGACGTAAAGTAAGTGGAAGTGGAAAAACTGAGCATTTCACTAGCAAGAAAACAGTTAAACAGAGCATCTGCAGCGCGAGAATGAGAGATAATCGAACTACTTCACTTTTGCTCTCGTGGATAGGGAAACCTTGTACACACAGACATCCATTAGCCTATACATAATTAATTTAGTTTGTTAAGTGGAAAGATTTGTTTAAAACTATTTCTGAATTCAGCTTTAATTTCCAGCAAACGAATAAATGAATAATAATAACAAAGTGTGCTCAAAAACCTGAGTTATATCCTAAAACACATGCTGTGCCCCATATGGTCTAAACCCTGACAGGTGGACAAATCTAAGCTTATTTAAAAAAAAAACAAATATAAATATGGATATAATAAATAATACTGCTAATAATAATAACATTATACAAAAGCAAATTGCTATGAATGAACTGAAAAAGCCTCCCGAGATGTAGAAGGCATGAAGGCAGTGGTTTTTATCTTTATGTAGGCTACAAAATAATATGTTTTGGAATATTTTAATCCTTTATATTTACATCCTATATATATCCTTATTATATCCTATATCCTTAATATTTTAATTCTTTTTCATATGTAAAGATATTTGCGTATTGCTCTACATCTTGTGTGTATTAAGCAGTGTGTAAGCCAGGCGCACAACTAGCGCGCTCTGCGCTAGACAATAGACCGGGTTTGTTTTGGTCTATACAAAAATCTATTATAGTTTCTCAAAATAGCAGCACTGCGCCTCTGAATGCCTTCCTTTTTTAGACCAGAACTCCTATGGACGCACATATGAGCGCAAATGCATTTGCTATTTAAACCGTGGTGCAAAACATCAAAACGACTCTTGCGCCAAGCTAAAACTAGCAAACAACAATTGCGTCGCGCCTTGCGCCACATTGCGCCGGGTGTATGATAGGACCCTTAGTCTTGTCAACATTTTGGAAATGGTCTCTTTTCATTGAGATATTGTTTATAATGTTACTTTTCAAAGAGGGTGTCCACAGTTATGCTGAGAGCATATATATATGTATATATATATTTTTTTTTAATTCCAAAATGTCCACCGCGTGACACCAGCGGCATCTAGTGGCTCTTTTCCAAACAACAACAGAGTGTCGCCTCTTGGTGATTCTTTGATCTTTGCTTTACGTCTTACAATTTAAACTAAACATATCGCTTTTTTTTTTACTTTTTCGCACAATTTTGACTTTGCATCTCACAATTCTGACCTAACAGTTCACCATTTTGTCTTTATGTCTCAATTTTGACTGTATAGATTGCGATTTTAGCTAAATCTCACAATTTTAACATTGTCTAATTTAACAGTTTGCAATTTTGACTTTACCTCTCACAAATTCTAACTTAACAGTTTTCAATTTTGTTTTTATGTCTCAAAATTTTGACTTTACAGTTCAAAATTTCAACTAAATCTCTCAATTTTAACCTTGCGTCTCACAATTTTAACCTTGCGTCTCACAATTTTGACTTAACATCTCACAATTTTATCTGCATCTCACAATTTTGACTACACGTCTCAAAAAAATTATGTCTAACAATTTTTTCAGGTTCAGAATACAGTTGAAGTCAGAATTATTTGCCCCCGTTGACTTTTATTTTCTTTTTTTAATATTTCCCAAATGATGTTTACCAGATTCAGGAAATTTCCACAGTAATTTTTTTTTTCCTCTGGAGAAAGTCTTATTTGTTTTATTTTGGCTAGAATAGAAGCAGTTTTAATTTTTTAAACACCATTTTAAAGTCAATATTATTAGCCCCCTTAAACTATATTTTGTTTTCAACTGTCTGCACAGCAAACCACTGTTATACAATAACTTGCCCAATTACCCTAACCTGCCTAGTTACCCTAATTAACCTAGTGAAACCTTTAAATGTCACTTTAAGCTGTTGTTAAAACTTTTATGATAAGAAATGTGTTGAATTTTAACTCATAATTTTAACTTTGTCTAACCATTATGAGTTTACAGTTTCACAACTTTATCTATGTTTTGCAATTGACTTTGCAGCTTGCAATATTGACTTTTCATGACACAATATTGACTTCCACCTCACAATCTGGACTTCATCTCTCGAAACAGCACAAAAGTATCCTGCTTTAATAAACGTGACATCAAATAAAGGGTTAGCACAAAGTAATCTAAATGTAATCCAAAAGTAGTCTGATTGGATTACTCTAAATGTGTAATTTGTAATCAGAAACTAATAATAGTAATCCACCCAGCTCTGGTTTGTGTGCACATACTTATGTTGCCAATAAATTTATATATATTACATTATCTATTTACCTTTCCAAGATGGCAGACAGAAATGGACAGATCTGAACACAATCACAGTGTGGACGGAGGTTTACGATGATCGTTCATCAGCGCCGAGCCCTTCAGAAACACTAATAAAATCAGACAAAAACACAACCTGACGATTCCCTCCATCATCACAGCTCTTCGGTGTGAGATTGTCAACACAAAAACAACACAACAACATCAACACTATGGGGCAATGGAGGCGTTCTGGATCGTTCACTGGTACCGAAGTGCTTTATAAAAGTGCAGATCTGCAAGAGAGCTCAACCACGACTCTATATATTTAATTTATTTCATTTTATTCCTTGTCCAGCAGATCACAGCAGACCCGTTCTGTTCTTCATCATATGAAGCTGCAGAAAAATACAGGTAAAATCCACCGATACACCTTCCACAGGTGGAGAAACTGCAGCAAACAGCACCTTCAGCCGGAGTCTGCACACAACAACCAGTTTTTATTAATATGATTATTATTTATATGCATGATAATCAATGAACCCTTTTTCACAATTAAAAGGTAATTTTTTCATAATTATTTACTATAGTAAGTTATTAAATTATTATTATTATTATTATTATTATTATTATTAATGTAAAATATATGGTTATTTGTACATATTTGTTATAATAATTATGTACAAAATAACAAAACAATCTTGATTGCAAATAATATGAATAATATATCAACTTTATTATTAATAAACTGCTACTAATAATTACCACCACTAATTTATTATTATTATTATTATTATTATTATTATTATTATTATTATTATTATTGTATTATTATTGTATTATTATTATTTTAATTAATTAATTTATTATGATGATGATGATGATTATTATTACTATCAATTTATTATTATTATTATTATTATTTTATTATTATTTTAATTTATTTATTTATTATTATTATTATAATTATTATTTTATTATTATTATTACTTTATTAATATTATTTATTTATTATTATTAGTATTATTATTTTATTATTATTACTTTATTATTATTATTATTGTATCATTATTATTATTATTATTATTATTATTAATACTATTATCACCATTATCATTTCTATGATTATTAATATTCATATTATCATCATCATTAATATTAATGTGTATTATTAGTATTAACTTAACATTGTAAATAGTATTATGCTAATATTATTACGCATGATAATAATGAACCCTTTTTCACAATTATAACAACTTATATAATATATAATTATCTTTAATTTATCATAATTATAAAATAACAAAACATTATTGTTTCAAAATAATATTAATAATATAACACTATTATTATAAATATATATTAATGCTGTACTACTACTATTACTCATTCATTATTTTTTTGTATTATTGCAATCATCATCATTGTTAATGTGTATTATTTTGTAATTATAAATAGAAATATTATTATGTAAATTATAATAATTAGAATTAAATATAACAGAACAAAGTATTCATTTATTATTGTAAATATTATACATTTTAATATTCTAATATTAATGTTAATAAATCTGATAAAATAATAATAAGCCTAAATAATAATATTCTAGTCTAATAGTCTAATATTAATAATGGTGACGCAATGGCGCAGTAGGTAGTGCTGTCGCCTCACAGCAAGGAGGTCACTGGTTCGAGCTTCGGCTGGGTCAGTTAGCATTTCTTTGTGGAGTTTGCATGTTCTCCCTGCGTTCGCGTGGGTTTCCTCCGGGTGCTCCGGTTTCCTCCACAGTCTAAAGACACGTGGTGCAGGTGAATTGGGTAGGCTAAAATTGACCGTAGTGTATGTGTGTGAATGTGTATGGGTGTTTCCCAGTGATGGGTTGCGGCTGGAAGGGCATTCACTGCGTAAAAAACACATGCTGGATAAGTTGTCGGTTCATTCCGCTGTGGCGACCCCAGATTGATTAAGGGACTAAGCCGAAAAGAAAATGAATGAATGAATGAATAATAATAATAATAATAATGATAATAATAATAATAATAATAATGATAATAATAATAATAATAATAATAATGATCAAATATTATTAATAATAATAATAATAATAATAATAATAATAATAATAAAATAATAATAATAAGTATAATAATATTAATAATAATAATAATATACAACAAGTATGAATAAAATAGTAATTCGCACTAACCTTATTATTAATTCCCACTTGCATGGAATTTTGGAATAAAGCATCTGCTAAATAGCTACATATAAATGTTCTGTATTTTTTATTATTATGCATAACAACAAGTTAGCCCTTCATTATAATTAAAACAACAACAACAACAACAACAACAATAATATTAATTACAAAATAATAATACATAAATAACTGAATAATGCCGTTGTTGTTATTTTACCATTATGCTTAGCTGCTACATTTCTATAATCATGAGTTAAAGATTAATTGTTTTTGATACCTTAAATTTATTTAATACTCTGTTGGTGAAAATTACGTCTAAAGAGCGCAAGACGGCCTGCAGAAACCTGAAATCTTGAGTAAAGTATGAACCTGGAGCTGCGGCTCAGTATAAATGATTCAGTCTGGAGGAACAGAGGAGCAGCGTGTGGACAATAAAAGCAGATTTCAGTCTTCAACACACTGAAGAAGCTCTCGGTTTTAAAAATAAAGCGTGAGGTGGCCTACTTTTCACTCCAATCATTATTTCTTATTAAACACAGTAGAGAAACCCAGCACTGAAGGACACATGGAGGACAGAGACCCAACCAACAAATCAAACTATCACGATCATTATTTATATATACGCATACACACATGATTCAGATAATTATTTCAATGCATTTTGATTTATCCCATTCGCATTAATAGAAGATGTGAAGAAAAAATATCAAAAATAATTAATACAATTTTATTTTTTTATTACTTTAATCTTATTCGATTGAATTGTTTATTTAATTATTTGAGATATTTATTCATTTATTTCTTTGTTGCTTTATTTATTATTTATTGTTTTTGTGATTTTGAAAAGAGTATCAATCTATTTTTTTACTTTTTTATTTTTTTACTAGCAAAACATAAAACAAATAAATAAATAATAAAAATATATTTACATATAAAAATAATTTAAGAAAAAATATCTCAAAATTTGTTCAAATTAATATTAAAATGTTCAAATTAAAAACATAAAAAAAGTAATTATAAAATAAAAACATAAAATACACATAATATATTGCCACATATTTCTCATTGTCATTCAGTTGAACTGTTTATGCTTTAAAATGACAAAAGAAAATGCACAAACACAAACAAATGTAAACTAAAGAACATATTTTAAAACTGCTAAAAGGAAAGAACAAAAATGTAAAAAATAAAAAATAAACAAATTTAAACCAATAAAATGTTAAATAAAATTAAAAAATAAAATAGTTTCTATAAAGATATTTTGTTTAAATATTAAAAACACTAAAAAAGTACAAAAACACAACACACATATGTGCATGTATATGTGTGTGTGTGTGTGTATATACACATATAGATATATAGATATAGCTAAAAATTCATTCATTCATTCATTTTCTTGTCGGCTTGGTCCCTTTATTAATCCAGGGGTCGCCACAGCAGAATGAATCAGCAACTTATCCAGTACGTTTTTACGCAGCGGATGCTCTTCCAGCCGCAACCTATCTCTGGGAAACATCCACACACACACTCATTCACACACACCCTCATACACTGGAGACAATTTAGCCTACCCAATTCACTTTTACCGCATGTGTTTGGACTGTGGGGGAAACCCAAGTGAACACAGGGAGAACATGCAAACTCCACACAGAAACACCAACTGAGCCGAGGCTCGAACCAGCGACCCAGCGACCTTCTTGCTGTGAGGCGACAGCACTACCTACTGCGCCACTGCATCGCCATAATTAAAAATCAAAATGTTAAAGTACATCAAATTTTTTTATATAAATATTGTACAAACAATTAAAATGTTAACTGAAATATAGTGTTAATATCAAATAACAATAATAAAAATAATATTAATAACAGGTAACATGGTGGCTCATTGGTTAGCACTGTGGCCTCACAGCAAGAAGGCCCCTCGTTCAAGTACTGGCTGGGTCAGCTGGCATTTCTGTGTGGAGTTTGCATGTCGGCGTGGGTTTCCTCCAGGGGCCTGCTTCAGTAAGGA